GTGTGTGTGTGTGTGTGTGTGGTGGGTTTCAAAATTTTTTGGAACCTCTTCTGTATGTGTGGTGTGCTTTCCAGGTCCACTGGTGGAACCTCTTCTAACCGGTTTGGTAGATTTGACGAACCAGTTCTACCGAACTGGTGCGAACCCACCTCTGCCCCAAATTCAAGTTTAGAATCAATATGTTGTTGGTCTCTTTTTCTGAAGTGACTAGAAGTGACACAGAACACAGGCAGCACCTGTTATTTTCTTCTCTTGAATCAACTAATTGCTGCATTTGCTCAATGATCAGATACGCATCTGGCTTGCACATATTCATTTTGTTACATGCAAAATTCTCTAACAGTAACAATACTAAAAGTTTGTAATTTACTATTGAAAGCAAATATCTCAGCTAGAGTTCTTTGAGCTAAGAGAAGCAGTTACCCACTGAATCATGTGCCAGAGAGTAGGATGGGACAACAAATAATTTTAAATTCTATGTAAATATACTATGTAAATATTGTGGTACTTAAAAAGTTCTATTCCTCATATTTTAATTTATTCCCATATTTATTCCCGAGCTTCTTCAAAATTTGCTGCCAAATTTTGAAGAAGCTCAGAGTCACCCATAATTCTGAGTGCCACATCTGTACTTCTTATAAAACATAATGTCTGATAACATCCTAACTCAATTAGAACCGAAAGTAAACAAGAAAGCATTTAGTAACTGCTTTAAAGCCCTTAATTATGGGTCCATTCTTGCAAAATCACAAAGCATAACATTTCTACATCATTCTGTTTATGTCTGGCTTCATTTAGTGTTCTTTCTCTTGTACTAGATGTAGAGCTAAAAGGTGGGTGGTTTCAGAAGATGCCAAAGGTGGTGAACCACATGGAAAATAAATCCTATGAAGAAAGGCTGAAAGATGCTAGAATACTTAATATGCAGAGGTAAAATATCAGATTGATAATACGATACAGATCAAATAACTAGAAGGCAGACCTCACAGGGCAGAACTACCTTGAACAGTTAGATTAGAAGATATCAAAAGGTAGATTCTGGTTAAAGATTACCAAAAGGGGGGGGAGGGAAAGGAACCAGGGAAATATTCCCCCATTTTACTAGAGTTATTTGAGCATGGGGAAACTGAGCCTATGGATTTCCTATAAAGAATGGGACTCTAAGGCTTACAAGCCCATCTAAAGTTGTAAGATGTTATGATTCAAGCTCAGTGAGTGCTAAGCAGCCCTCCCTCTTGGACCCTTAAAGGTAAAGGTAAAGGTTCCCCTCGCACATATGTGCTAGTCGTTCCCGACTTTAGGGGGCGGTGCTCATCTCTGTTTCAAAGCTGAAGAGCCAACGCTGTCCGAAGACTTCTCCGTGGTCATGTGGCCGGCACGACTAAACCCCAAAGGCGTACAGAGTGCTGTTACCTTCCCACTAAAGGTGGTTCCTATTTTTCTACTTGTATTTTTATATGCTTTCGAACTGCTAGGTTAGCAGAAGCTGGGACAAGTAATGGGAGCTCACTCTTACGCAGCACTAGGGATTCAAACTGCTGACTTATCTGATCGACAAGCTCAGCATCTTAGCCACTGAGCATCCCTAAATAAACTTTAGCAACTTGCAAAATTTGGGGGCTGTCAAGTGATTTTTTTTATTCCTTTTTCTTCACAGTGGTAGGACCATAATCTTCATGGCTACCTTTCTTCAGTACTGCAACACTCATAACACTCATAAAACTTTGCCAAATGTTCAAGTCCGGATTGATTTTCAACAGTTGGGAAACAATGAGTTAAACACGTGCATATGCTTAAAAGTTTCAAAGACTTCTTTAGATTATTTTCAACCCTGTTAAAAGTTCCTTAAGTTTATGAGAAGCAATCTTTCTCTGCTGTCCGTTACCTTTTCTCTTCCCCTTTGCCACTTCTTTCAACAGTGGGAAAAAAGGGATTAGAGAACAAAGCTTTGAGTGGATTTTTCTTACCTGCCAATCTGCACCGTTGGCTCAGTGGCATACACAGTTCCAGTGAACCCTGTGTGTTCTGTGATGTAGGGCAAGGCCATCATGCAGTGGTAATTGGAGATCAGGATCACATCCACTGTAGACAAGTCAATCAGTTCCATCTGAAAATATGACCCAGAAATCATTTGGTAAAATAGATTTTTAAACTTATCTCTCGCCATGTTCCCCCCCCCTCTCTCTCTCTCACTCACACACACACACACACACACACACACACGTATACATGTATGTATGTACGCATGTTGCATTTGTGCTGATAAATAAATAAAGGGAGACTAGTATAGATCTATTTCAAGCTATTTTAGCTCTCATCAGCTAGCCATACGGTTACTGGGAATTGAACCTGGGCTGTATTACATATCAGGCAGTTGTATTAGCCACTAAGCCACAGGCTCTCCTCCTTTATCAGCTAAGCCAGGGAAATAGGTATGTATTGTGTCACAACTCCTGGTATGCCCAAATATGGGAGGGAGCATACTGCTTCCCTTTTCTGTCTTTCGGATCACCCTAGGAGCCATCCAGGCAGTTGCCTTTTTGTATATATGTGTACACACACACACACACACACACACACACACACACACAGAGCAAAACCTGGATTAAAGAAATGTTTCCCACCATTCATCTGAGAATTCTAATATGGACAGAACATGTCTTCAGATTATTGTTAGTTCCTCTTTATGTAACATGCTTTTCTATATAAACAGTGAAGAATTATCTGGTTCTTCACCTTAATTTTATTTTTTATATTATTTATTATTATTTATTATTTATATATAGCTAAGATCTCCAATATGGTGTTTGAGGAGCCAGGGAGCCTCCATACTACCTCCCTTGTTGTCCAATGGGTTCCTGGCCCCACTTGACATTTTCATTAAAAAATATTAAAAACAGGAACTTGTCATTTTACGAAGAAAACTGGTAATCTGTGTATCCTCTTTATTTATACAAATGCCTCATAGCCACCAAAGAAAACAAAAGAAAAAAGGGATTTCTCTTATAACAACTGAATAGCCACAAACGAAACATTGCCTTACTGAAATCCATGGAACTAAAAAGCCTACATGTACAAAAGTAAAAACCATGTAGTGCCATTTGGAAGATAAAGAAGGCATCAAATTAGTGTCTCTTTAATGTCAATTTTCTAACTGAGATAGCATAGGGACAGTGTTGAAAATGATTTTTTTCCAGGGTGGTTATTAATTCCTAGTTACTGGATGGTGGCACTGTCTGAAATACTCAGAAGAAATTACAACTTCTGTGTAATTTCTATTTTCCCTGAAATAAGCCCATAAAAAATAAGCCCTAGCATGATTTTTCAGGAGGCTCATAATATAAGCCCTACCCCCAAAATAAGACCCAGTTAAGATCTTCAACCAGATGGTTGCATTTAGTACTGTATTTCCTAGAAAACAAGACCTAACCAGAAAATAAACCCCAATGTGTCTTTTGGAACAAAAATTAGTACAAGACCCAGTCTTATTTGGGGGAAACACAGTATTACCAGTGAAATTATTGGCTTTCTGAATAAGAATATGCTGAATAAAAGATATCCAGCCTACCTATCAATTGTTTAATTTTGTTAGCAGAAATTCTAATAGCATGGATATTCCATTGTCTATAAAGTATCAAAGTTGAATACTTTGAGTTTTTTTTGAGACCTTTGAAGGACATGCATGAATGGCCAGGGCAGAACAACCCAGGGCAAAAAGTAATTTTAATTTTAAAATTAGGTGGTAAATTACTTAAACATGGCACATGTTCACTTAATTAACTACAGCAAATTCAATAACTTCATGTACTTAGTAATTTCCACCTTTGTATGTGTATATACTGTATGTGTATAAACATATATACCAGTCATTATACACATGTTGTGCACTGACAATAAATAATGAATTGAACAGTCGCACACTTTTCTGAAGAATGCTGGAAATTTAGAGTCCATTCAGGTTTTATTTTAAAATCTTAGAATTACCAAACATTAGAGGTTGCACCCCACATTAGAACTGGCCAGTGCTTTGGATTCAAGGGGAAAAGGTGTTCTGGAGCAAGCTGGCTGGGGAATTCTGGGCGTTGAAGTTCGCCAGGCTTAAAGTTGCCTTGGTTGGAGACCCCTGTTCTGGAGGGTATGGGGGTGGGTGGGAATGTAAGACCTCTCAAGAACTGCTTAAATCAAACACCACTAACATGAGTCTATTCAAAGAATTCCTAACAGTATAATAAGAATCCCCAAGCCACGTGTTCAAAAGAACCTTTTTGCCTAGAAATCTGAAAAATTGTACCATCTTGGTATGCAGCAGACTTCCCCAAGCAGTGCCCTTCTACTTTGCTGAATTATAATTATAAAAAATATATATTCCACACTGAAGGAAAAGTAGGTGTACAGAAAATCCTCAGAAAACGAAGATGTAGCTGAAAGGCTGAACTTTCAGACTCTAGTTATGTTCTATTCTCTGCAGCATCTGAATTTAATTCCTTTGTCTTCTTGTTGCTAGCTCTAAAACCTGTCCAATTTCAGCGTTGGAAATGAGCTTAATCGTTTTCAGAATCTTCTGCGAGTACAGGAATAGAATCAGATAAAATGGATTTGCAAGGCTGAAGAAAAAGATTTTGCTTCCTGTAATAAGAAATATTTACAGGTATGGCTGGGACATTGCTGGACTCAATCTGGAGAATTTACCAGAAGCTTAACCTCTAACTCAGTTATTACGGAGCAACTAACAACATTCAATAGACATCAAGCAGAAAAAAATCATCCGTACACAAATCTAAACTTATTGATTTGAAGTTAATGGTGGAGAAATCAATCAAATTGGCTGTTTAAAAACCAAATGTCTCCTAATAACTAATTACTGTCCTGGGGGGTTCCTTTTTGTGTTGAGATTAAAATTGCACCCATGGATGATTGTTAAAATTAATACAGTGCAGAATCATGACTAGAATTGGAGAGCTGTGCTAAAACAGGTATTAGAAAAGTTTCTCATAGAAAATAGTTGTTTGGTTCCCTTTAACTTAATGAGCTTTTGAAAATTGACACTATAATAAAATAATGGGCAACAGTTTTAGCCTTGGGAAAAAATATTTAAGGTAAAAGTTCCTCTCGCACATATGTGCTAGTCGTTCCCGACTCTAAGGGGCGGTGCTCATCTCCCTTTCAAAGCCGAAGAGCCAGTGCTGTCCAAAGACGTCTCTGTGGTCATGTGGCCGGCATGACTAAACACCAAAGATGAACGGAATGCTGTTACCTCCCCACCAAAGGTGGTTCCTATTTTTTCTACCTGCATTTTTACATGCTTTCGAACTGCTAGGTTGGCAGAACTGGGATAAGTAATGGGAAAATTTTTTAGATGCCATGATATGTCAATACTTACAAAGATTAGAACTGTGCAAGCTATAATGTTCCCTGTGACATTCTATGCAAGCAAAAGTATGCAAGCAGGATAGGAAAAAGCTTTTGAACTTAGATGTTGGAGAAGATTTCTGAGAATACCATGGCGTAACCAAGAAAACAAACTAATGACCATCGGGAAAAAAATCAATCTTTTTCACTTGAGGCACAAATAACCAGGTTCAAACTGTTCCGTTTCAGATACTTCATGTAAAGACTCAACTTTCTAGAAAAAGTTCTAATGCTTGGAAAGATGAAAGAAAAGAGAAGAGCTGAACCAGCAGCAAGAAGGGTGGACTTACTTATACTGGCAGTGAGTGCACAATTGGGGGACTTGAATAAAGCTTAGGGATAGATCGTCACAGAGAAAATCAATCTATGTGGTCACTAGGAATTGAAAATGACTAGATGGCAAAATAATCAATCAAACAAAAAATCAAAAGAAAGGTCAAACAAGTTCATGAGTGAATAGGCTTATTCCAATGGTTTTAGCCTATTAATTCAAAGGAATCTCCATATGCAGAATCACTATTTTAGAAGTGGGATAAACAGTAACAATAACAGTAATAATAATTTATTAAATCTATATACCTCCAAGTGACTCTGGGCAGCTTACAGTTATTAAATACCCATCTCTTTTCCTGCTTATGAATTTATGAAACACCCATCAAGTTGCTAGGTGAAGATAAACCTGATCTTAACCTGATCCATCAAAGCAATCTCAACACTATTAATCAATGGGGTGCAGAGATATCTTCAGCTTGGAGGCAAAATACCTGCCAGGTGTCACGGGGGAGGCTGGGACAATCATTAACTTTGTTTTTATTTCATTTACATTTTGATTTAATTAAAATAAATTTTTCTTACTAAATAAAGTTAATAAAAATAAATCAGATTGCTCTCCAGATATCTTCCATTAATTTAAAATTGTTAAAAACTACAGGTTTGGTAATAGCTTCCAGAGGTTTCTGATGGCTACACTCAAATCTTTTAACAGCTTCAATTTGCCACTGGGCTTTCTGATTGTGTAATTCTGCCATAAAAGGGATTGACAAATAGAAAGATTGAAACAAATTTATATTTAAGTGGGGGGGAGGGAAGAGTTGAAAAAGTTCATTAGAACAAAAACAACTTTATTTTTTACTTCAAAACTTCCATCTGACATAGAGAGATTTTTTCCAATTTGTAATCTCACCCAAAACAACACGAATATCCTTAATCAGAGTCCCACTGAGTGCTCACTATCTTGCAGATTTTAACTCCTCCTTTCCTGGATACCTTAGTTATCCTTGATGGCCAGAAGAAGACATTCCCCATAAATAAACAGAGGTCCATGAATTGCCCTATATCACTTAATGGAAGTAGCACTATACATATTGTAACTCATCAGATTTTGAAAGAAAACTATGTGGAAGAACAATCAAAAAACAATTTCTATAGCTACATGCATATATATCTATATGCATATAGCCGAAGTTTGAACCCCAGCAAGTGTATGGCTAGCTGATGAGAGCTAAATAGCTTGAAATCTATACTAGTCTCCCTTCATTTCTTTATCAGCAAAAATGTAACACATATACACCTATATACACATGTAGACCCAGTATATTACTGCTTTTGGAGGCAAGCAACATTATACAAAGTGATACAAAAGTTAATTAAGAGAAAGGTATTAACAATACAGTTTGGCACATCTACCATACTAGAGTACTACTAATTTCAGTGGAACTCACTCATAACTAATGAGGATATAATTACAGCCTAAGCATATGAATTTACCCTATACTAAAGGAACCACTAGGGTGTTAAATAATGGCAGGAGTTTTCTAGGGTCTTAGATAGGAAAAATATTTCCCTTAAAAAAATAACATGATAAAAAATAAACTTTTTTTTAATCAGGTGATACCAGATTTGAACTGGGAAGCTTTTGCAGAAAAAAGCAGGCATTTCTTTCTTTGAACTCTAACTCTTGGCTACTAGTTGAGTAGATAAAAACAACCATATGAACCTGAATTCCACAACTGAACTTTATAATACAGACTCTAATAAGTTCTAATAAGAATAACAAACTGATCTATCTTTTAGGGCTGCTGAAAGACTTTGAGCTCTTTTCAAAATTAGGATATAAACATGTTTACTTGGACTTCAGTAAGGCATTTGATAAGGTAGACCATAACCTACTACTAGATATAGAATGTGGGTTAGACAGCATCACCACCAGATGGATTCGTAACTGGCTGACCAACTGCACTCAACGTGTAGTCCTCAATGGAACTGCATCTACATGGAGGGAAGTATGCAGTGGAGTACCCCAAGGCTCTGTTTTAAGCCCAGTACTCTTCAACATCTTCATAAACGATTTGGATGAGGGAATAAATGGGGAACTCATCAAATTTGCAGATGACACCCAGCTGGCAGGAATAGCCAACACACCAGAAGATAGGCTCAAGATACAGAAGGATCTTGACAAACTTGAACATTGGGCACTATCTAATAAAATGAAATTCAATGGTGAAAAGAGTAAGGTTCTGCATTTAGACAAGAAAAATAAAATGCACAGGTACAGTATAGGTGGTACCTTGTTCAATAGCAGTAACTGTGAAAGGGATCTTGGAGTCCTAGTGGACAACCATTTAAATATGAGCCAGCAATGTGCAGCAGCTGCCAAAAAAGCCAACACAGTTTTAGGCTGCATTAATAGAGGAATAGAATCAAGATCATGTGAAGTGTTAATACCACTTTATAATGCCTTGGTAAGGCCACACTTGTAATACTGCATTCAGTTTTGGTCGCCATGATGTAGAAAAGATGTGGAGACTCTGGAAAGAGTGCAGAGAAGAGCAACAAAGATGATTAAGGGACTGGAGACTAAAACATATGAAGAACGGTTGCAGGAACTGGGTATGTCTAGTTTAAGAGAAAGAAGGATTAGGGGAGACATGATAGCAGTGTTCCAATATCTCAGGGGTTGCCACAAAGAAGAGGGAGTCAAACTATTCTCCAAGGCACCAGAGGCTAGGACAAGAAGCAATGGGTGGAAACTAATCAAGGAGAGAAGCAACTTAGAACTGAGGAGAAATTTCCTGACAGTTAGAACAATTAATCAGTGGAACAGCTTGCCTCCAGAAGTTGTGAATGCCCCAAAACTGGAAGTCTTTAAGAAAATGTTGGATAGCCATTTGTCTGAAACGGTATAGGGTTTCCTGCCTAGGCAGGGGGTTGGACTAGAAGACCTCCAAGGTCCCTTCCAACTCTGCTATTGTATTGTATGTTGGGACTAATTATTTTATTATATTAAAATTGTATGGGCTGATCCATAAATCGACTTCAAGTGGGGAAAGAAGCAGAGTTAAGATTTGGGATTCTGTTTTCCTTAAACTGAAACAGGAGTCACAAGTAATTTGACAAAAAGCCCTAATTCAGGGTTTTCCAATCTTGGCAACATTAAGACATGTGGACTTCCCAGAATTCCCCAGCCAACCACGCTGGCTGGGGAATTCTGGGAGCTGAGGTCCACGTATCTTGAATGTTGCCCAACTTGGAAATCCTGCCCTAAATGTTTGAGAGGAAAAAAAAGTAGCATTTTAGTAGGAGCTTATGATGTATTCTTCTAGAAATATTTTCTCTCATGCAAAGTGGATGTTCTGGGTTGCCCCTAACTCACAGATGCCAATTTGACTTGAATACAGAACTAGTAAGCGATCAGATTTCTCTGGGATTATACTACAATTCTGGCTAGAACACCAATGCTTCCACTACTAACTACCAAAGCACTAAGAGAAATATTTTGAATTGTGTTCAATAAGGAGACCCACCTCTGGCAAACAAAATTCAGGAACAGAGTCCACAAAGACACGTCCAGAACAGTCTTTCAGCTCCTAGGAAATGAGATAGAAAGAAAATAGAAATTTAACTATAAGCAAACAGACCACATTCAACACTGTGTTAATGGATAGTGTTATAACATTTTAGAAGAAAATTGCAAAATGATTCAGAGAGATGAGATAAATATATCCTAGGAGATGCAGTTCCACTGGGTGAGTACCAATCCAATCTTTCTTCCTTAACCTGGCATTAGAGCTTAACAACACTGGATCTCAGCAAAGGCTTAAAAGTCAACATATGGTCCATTTTTAACCAAGAAATCTGTCTGGGCACAGTTGGAAATTACCTCAGTCTCCTTTTTGGTTTGTTTTATTTTTATTCCTTGGCTCTAGATTCTTTGGCTTCTCTACTAACTAAAGCCCCATTTTTCATTCACTTGGCTTTCAGTACTGAGGTTGTGCTTTTAATTCCTTAGCAAAGTATGACCACATAAATATTTCAGATTCTTTGCTTCAAGGTGAATTCAAGCAATTTTGTGCCCCTTTCCTTAACATCTGGGTCACTGATTGAGGTATATGCAAATAGGTTTGAGAGAAATGGCTACAAATGGAAAGCTGTAGTAATTTTATCCCTGTGGAAGTAGAGAAAAGTTGTGCTAAGCCTCTGTATAATTCTAAAGAGAAGGGGATGTTTTTGGAGGAGGGAATTTTCCATCTATAAAATCACAAATTTCCCAAACACATTATACTATCCTGCTTTCGACTATCCAGCATTAGGCTTTGGATTCAATTCTTAAGAAATTCTCAACAACTTTGCCAAGTTATACACATCAGCAATTATATCTGACAGAAAGCCCTTAACCTTATCAAGAGAATTTAGAAGGTGAATAATGGGTAAGCAAGGGGAATTTCAATGCCCCAATAAACACTGGATTTAAAACAAAATGCAGCAAAGACTAATATTCTCCTTACAAAATAAAGTGTTCACCTTTAACCCCAACTTCATTCTGAGCAGAACTAGGGAAGTAATTTGTCATTCTAAGCAAATTAGATCCCTAGAATGGACCCTATCTGGCCGAAATCAAATTGTTCTGAAAGTCTTAATGTTAAACTTGTTATTATGTGCCCTTTTGGATTCTCTCAAGGATCAGAGTCACTGGAGAGTCAGGCAGGTATTGTGGTTAAGGTGATGAGCTAGTGCCGGGAAGATGCAAGTTGAAGGTGAACTTCATCCATGATAATTAAGGGGGTGACTTCCAGATCTTTAAGGGGCGTATCTGTAAAGCCCTTAACAGTTACTGTACATTAAAAAGGTAGGAAAAACAGGGGTTTGTATTACAGAAATTTTGCCTACTGGTTATGTTTACTTTAACAACCCTTGCATCTCTTAAGTTACTTAGAGCAAAGATTCCTTGACCCTTTTGTCTCTTCTTGATGCAACAGGGAATGAATTACCCATTTTCCTGATAAAGGAGGAATATCCAAAGTTAAAATATTCTGCAAAGCAACATCTTTTTCAAACTCTTGAAAGGTTCATTGTATGACAGAGGAGTCTTAAAAAGTGCCTTCAAAAGTTTCCAAAGACCATAGGGAATTTGCATGGAAAAGTGGCTTGAAACAAATCTTCCAATACATGAGATCTGGCCATACAGGGAAGCTTGAGATGACTTCACTAGATCTTTCAAGGGCCATTTATGATTAGGTTTGAGCACTCCCCATTAATCCAAGTACAATTTAAGCAATACCTTGGAAATTGACAAGGAACTCTAATTGTTCCAATTGTCCTCCTTATAAGACCAGGGAATATTAATCAAACAAGGTACAATTTCCAAGAGAAGTAACTGAAAAAAGTAAACGGAGAGATGATATTTTGTAACATTTGATTTCCTAGCTCAAAATTGGACTTGAAAATGATGCTCATTTTGATGACAGCTTTGTTTTCTTCACTGGGTAAATGGATTTTACTTGGGCATAGTTTCATTGTCTAATTAGTTAAATTCATTGAGAATCCTAATCCCATTGGTACATTACCTTGTCCAAGAAAATGCTTCCATCTTTTAAGATCCATCCTGGGAGCTTGGATAGCCTTGGACTGTAGGAAAGTAAAAAACATTGTTTTAATCAGCACCCATTTTCCAAGATCTGCATATAAAACATTGATACTGTACACACTTCAAAATAATAGTAAGTAAGCACTTAAGAATTTTTTTTGCTGTAACAGCAGCTTAACTAAAAGCTAAAGATTTACTTCAATGTTTTTCAAACTTGGCAAGTTTAAGATATGTGGACTTCAACTTCTAGTATTGTTTTAAGAGGACAAAACTTCAGAAGAAAGTAAGGTCATAAGTTAACTTAGAACTCTAAATTATGATTATGAACTGTTCCAAGCCTATTAACAATATTCTCCCAGTATGGATACAAGTAATAAATAAAATGACCCCACATTATCCTGGCATTTCACTGCATGCTAACAAATGGGGAGAAAAGTGACAGCAGAAACATAGTTCATGACAAAGGTAATTATCACTCTATTTATTACTAAACAACCCATGGTCCATTGGGTCATTCTTACCAAAAGAGAGAAACATAATGACCATGAGTGGATTGCTGTCTGATTTTTCTCATCATTTCATTGATGGGAACTTAGATAGAGTTCTTTGAGAACAGTTTTGTTAGGTAGATTAAATCTATACATTCTTCCATAATTCTATTTTATCATTGTGATTTTTTTTTCTGAATTTTATCTACTCCCGCATTTAATAAAAACTCAGAATGTCTTCCTTCTCCCTCACTCAATTGTATATTTTTCTTCCATTGAAACTTGTCAAAGGTTCTCTATAGATAGAATATGTTGATGCATAACTTATCCACATCAGTATCATTTCCTCTTTTTACAGCTGGTAGAAGTTGACAGATACCGCCATAGCAAAAGGTTACAATTCCTCAACTACCCCATGTAATGTACTGTCCTACCACCAGGCATCGTTGTTGCTGCAATGTTGAGGAATACTATAGCAATAACAACATCTCCATCTCTCCTAAATTTAGTGAGGATCAAGTTAGTAACAAATGTCTTTCCTTTTCCTCCTGGTGCATCAATGAAAATTATTGGAGAAAGATTGATTTGCAAGCACTTTCACACTGTCATATACTGCTCTTTGCTCGTTATTCAATAGAGGCTCGCTGTGTAGTATAAATTCCTGCTGTTTGTCTCTGTTGCATTGCAATTCATGCAATAATTCCTGATTGACACTATTTTGATTAATTGTACTATTTGTGGGTTTGGGCAAGTTACATTCTTCAAAGGTTCTTCTCAATTTCCTACGTTTTTCTTGGAAATACAGAAGAATTTTTTCATGATGCTTCTTATTGATCATGATAATAGTATCATTAATATTTCTCCTCTCAATTTAGAGGAAATCTTCAGACACTGCACTCTTGAACTGATTCCACATTGCTGCGAATTGCTGATTTTACTGTTTGATTGCAAGATGACAAACAAATCTCTCATAGCTCCAGGGATTCTTGTTTTTTCAACCTCTTGCATAGTTTGTTGCCAATGACTATCAGCTTGCAACAATCCCCTCTCTGTCTGCAGACAACTCTGAATAATGGAAGGATATGTCCATTATGAGTCTTCGATGATTTGAGAAACAGTAGCCCCTTTATGTGATGAAGAAGCAACCTCAAGCAGTGGTCATCACTTGGTCGAGAAACAATATACACTCAACCGAGAACATTGGTTACAAAAATTCCAGATAACTCCACCAGTCTTTACCCCATCTTCCTTATTTCCCATCTTTAATTATTCCAAGTGTAGAACCTTGGAATATCCATTTAGTTCAGCATTTTTGCAAATGGATCATGTTTGCAAAGATCCATGAATTCTGTTAATGTGGTTCTTGCCTAATCCCTATTAAGTACACAGCAGTATTATCTTGAAAGAATAGTAATGGTTTTATGGAAGATGCACTTGAAGGCAAACAATAGCCAGTTCCTGTGCATGAATCTGAAATCCAAATATTGATACAACAGCTTCAGAGGACCTAATGCACCTGCCTGTCAAGTGCTGTGTGATTTTTGTCTTCTCTGTTCAATGCGAAAACTGCCTGATTACTCCCCTTCCTGGTATACTTGATTTTGGATTAGATGGATTTGACAGATGAGCATATGAGCATACCATTGAGATGTCAATTGGACACCCTCAATAGTTGTGTATTCTGGAGTACCACCCATTGAGGAGTTTTAGCTCAACTCTGTCGTCCTGCTTGATGTACTTCAAATCCTCCTGTAGATAGGACATGAATCATCACTACACCTTGGACACCGATTGAATGGCTTTTGGTACTGCTTACTGAATGTATCATTTTCCCAACATCCTGAATAACTGCTGCAAAACGGACTATGGATCATGTGCTTTAATAGCAATTGATGCAGCTCTGGATGTTCATTTAGGTTTGGTACTTTGGCTTGCACAAAAGTATCATAGCTGTCTTGGCTTGGATGCTTCATTAACCTATAGCAAAGAGTGCAAATGAGAGAAATCCTGCTTTTGGTATCCATACTAAGCACATAACCTATCTATCAAAGAGACCATGTGCTCCAGTGTGGTACTTCAGGAACAATTTTGTCTTCAAGCTGAATCCTTACAATTAAATCCAGCTAATCATTTGGCTGCTGATTTAAAAAAAAATGCTGTGTATTTCTGGCCAGTTTGAACCGCATGTCACTGTAATGAAAAATGAAGTATTGCATACTTCCGTATAAACATCATGGCATCTTGACATCATTTCATCATCTATCTTGGTCCTCCCAACAAATGTTGCAGAGAGGATGATGCGTCTTCTGATGTTTCTAAAATCATCATCATTATTCAATCAGTCAATCAGACTGTTGTACGTTGCTTGATTCATTTGGATGTAAGTCAGCCTCATGCTTTCAATCTCAGCAGTCATGTCAACCACGTATTGTTGTAATAGACATCCTCCTCTTAGAAGGTTATTAAACTCATTCTCATGGTTCATTATTCAATATGCATAGTAATGCATCACCGTTAGTTTCTTGTTGTTTATCGTTTGAAGTTGATGATGCCAGCCATCCTCTCCAAGAGGAAACAAAAATATGTATTGAAAGCTGTCATGGGAGAGATGGGACTCTGAAATAATTTACAAGCCACCTTCTTGTTCTTTCAACATAAATGTACAGGGCGGGATATGTTTCCCCAGAGGGCTATGGCAGGAGTAGTCTACCTGATCTCCAGGAGCTAATGGCAGGACTGGTCTCCCCAACCTTTGTGGAGGGCTAAGATAGGATCACTCTACTGAAGCTCAAGGCAGGCAGCTTGGCAGTGCTGAAATACCGAAGCAGCCACAAATCTGCCAAATTTCAATCCCATGGGAGTCATAATGCTAATGCTTCCTGACATACAGTCATTATTTTATTCATTTTAACTTTGTTGTATTCATTTTTGCACTACAGGCAAATTTTCATAGGGTAGGCAAAAATGTCATGGGAAATATAATAGGAATAGCAGCAAAGCTCTTTATTTTTGAAAAGCAGACTATACATTTGGGAAGAAAATGTGTCCTTCACATCACGAGTAAATGGATTACCCTGAGTTTAGTGATAAGAAGCAGTTGAAAAATGCAAGAAGATGGGCAGGGACTAAGGTGGCTGGAGTCAACTTCAAACCGAACCTGGAAGAAGCCATTTTGTTGGTTCTAAGTTGCCACACAGTATTGGAGCGGGGGGAGAGACTGGAATGCACTCCCAGACAAAACATTGCTCTATCTCCTGGGAACCAAGGTCATCTCCACAGGTGTCAGATGGAATGGAGAGGAGTGCCTCGGGAGCCTGCCAATGAACTTAATTGCACAATGTGACCTGTGATACTTGTAGAGGGGATAATTTTCACAATTTTTTTTTTGTGAAAATGGGCTCGTTTTTTGTCAACAAAAAAGGGCATGGATAGCCTTTAGGAAGCTTATAGAGTGCTGCTGGGAGTGGGGTGGGGAAACAATGGGCTGTTTTCCGCTCATTTCTGCCCTCTCAAGCCCCCAGGAAGTATCTGAAAACCTTTTAAGGGCAGAGTTTCGGGAGGCAAAAATGCTGTATTCAGTGTATAAGACGCACCCAGGTTTTCAGCCTCTTTTTTGAGGGAAAAAGGTCCGTCTTATACTCTGAAAAATACGGTATGTGCTTGAGTTCCTCAACAAACATAGGACATAGATACATGTTAATGTTTATATGCCAGAAATGGAGCATACAAATGTCGCAATAAACATATTCAGCCCTTCCTTCCTTCCATCCTCTTTTTCTCTTATCTCTCTTTCTTTCAATATTTATATATTTTCCTTAACAAACATTAATATTTTATGTATAGCGTATTGTCTGGGTGTATTTGTTTACCATAATAGTATATAATAAAATAATATATTAAACATAAACCATACATAATAGTATTTTTCCAATTTCCAATTTCTATTATCCAACCATTGATAAAATAAATCCCATGTTTGAAAGTATTCTGTATCTTCTTTATCTTTAATCTTCAATGTCAACCTATCTATTTCTGTACAATCTAGTATTTTTTAAATTACATCTTCTTTTATGAGTGATTCCTCATTTTTCCAATGCTGCATATATACAATTCTTGCTGCCATCAAGATTTGTAATATCAAATATATATTTCCTTTATTATATTTTTCTGTTACTATGCCTAACAAAAAAAATTTCTGGCTTCTTTTTTTTCTAACTATGTATTATTTATGTCCAATATTTTTTTGCCTTTGCACATGTCCACACATATGATAATATGTGGTTACATTTCCAACATTTGGCAGACATGTGCCACCTATAAAACATTTTCTATAAATTTTCCTTATATGCAGTTGCCATTGTCAATATATAGTTTCTATCCCAAAGTTTTTCCCAATATCCAAAGTTTTTTGCCCATTCTACCATTGTTTCTTTCACCTGTTCATCTTCCAATTTAGGCTTAATAAAAAGTTATATATTTTTATTAACTTTTCATTTGTCACTAATAATATTTGGTCAAATGTGGTTTTTTCCTTATAAAACCATTTTATAAGA